TTTATATATGCCATTAGAAATCAGCTTGTGAAGGGTATTATAACTTCGGTGTGGCCGAAATTAACGTTTTTTTCTTGTTTACTCAGTTGGAAGTCATATTATGATGTTAATGTGTTTGTCAGTTCAAATAAGTATAAAATTTGTATAATAATTGTATCAGAAACGCTAATATCACATTATTACTATGTTAATTAGTAGTATTTAAATTACCGTCAGTTTTGTTTTATTAATTATATGTATACCAATTTCCACTTTCAGCTAAATTTTCAAAATTATGGCATATTTTATAACAGATATGAACATTTTGAGCTGAAATATTCTAAAAACAAATATTCGCTATATGAGTGCTTGTAAGTAAATATACTTTTTTCTAAATTGCTTTCTCCTATTCTTTATTTAACAAAGTATATATGTTAATTGTATATTCTAAATCGCTTTTTGGTAAAGCCTTTTATGAAAACCACTTTATGAGTACATACATTTTACTAGATAAAAAGTTTTTTGTTTCACCGTAATTAAATCGTATACGCGTAAGTGTTGATCTCTTTTGAAAGTTTCTCAAAAGCTTTGTTTCCAATTTTATCAAATACAAATCGGTCTTCATACATTCTCCAACGAAATCATGTGATATAGTTCATTTACACGTCAAAACCATGACCTTAAATTAAATTCAGTTTTTATTTACTATTATTAGCCAAAAAGATGTCAAATCCAACCTGCAAGTTCCTCCTTTGGTATATTTAGCTTGATGACAGACATTCTATACATCAGAAATGATTTTATAAGATTACACCAATATGGCATATCATGCTTTGCACGCTTCTAAATGTTGCTATAGTTAATTTTGTCTAAGTCTTGTCAATTTTTAATTCTATTTGTAATAACAATGCATTTCCGAACGCTGATTCCGATTTAGCCTTTTTTCGTGTTTTTGACTGGCACATTCTTTCAGTAAGTCGATTACTATAGATTATACAATTTCATTGCATAAATATAATATTTCTAATCGGCAAATATTTAAACCCACTAGCCAATTCCGAAATTATTTTGCTAAATGTTTGAACGGTATATTAAAAACAGCTTCCATTTCAACAATCCGGTACTTCTTAAGTTTCAAGGTATGCCTAAAAACAGGAGCTCTCTAACCTACTCTTTACAGTATGATTTTACCTAGAGTTGGATAAAATACTTTGGTGAATTTCAACCTCGCTGCTATGATTAAACCAAGAAGCAGTTGAGTCCGATGAAAGAGGGCAACAACAAATATCTCGATATTATATGAACAATCTGTGTTGTCGCATACTAGCTCTTGTGATACTATTGTTTTCCTTTATAATGAAATATTATCAATTCTACGTCACCGCGATCGAACCGGATGAGGAGAAAACAGTTCAATGTAGTGCTAATGTGTAGACATATCAAACGCTTTATTTCTTTCTAAAACAAAAATAGTACTTTATAAGTATCTCATCATGGCAGATTCGATGAAAACCGCTTCTTCTTGGAAATCCTAAATGGAGAGAGTATTGACTTAGTTTGGAGTTGCGAAAAGTCACCAACTGCCATGCTATACCCAAATTCATCTTTATAGTTAGTACACAGACAAGAAAAATATTAGTTTTCTCAATAATAAAAAATATTAGTCAACTCGGTTTAATATTTGGCCTGAAGGCGCTTTATCGACAGATAAGATATATTTTCTGACATAAAGGACTGTATATAGTACGATTGAACCTAATCTAACCTTCTTTAACATTTCAGTTAGAATAGTGTAACCGCAGTGAACAAATATTTTAACTTCCATATTCTGCTCACAATAAGTTTATAATGTCGCAATTAATTTCATTTCTCATCCCAAACGAGACTTAGATGCGAAAATAGTTTTCCTTGCCCACTAAGTAATTTAATCCTTGGGCATCATAACAACTTACAAACTGCAAAATAAATAAAGCGCCGAATAACTTCGAAGCAACTACATGACGGTATTAAATATAATTGACCGTGGTAATCCGTTTTTCTTGGTTACAGTAAAAAGTGAGAGCAATTTAGCACGGAAGTTAAAAAAGGAAAAAATGGCAGCAACCAAATTAAATTCATACCTTTCTCAAAAAAAAAAAAGAAAATCAGTAGAATATGCCACAAGGCAACAAGACAGTAGCGCTAACTATGTGAAGAGAAAAGGCCTCTTGTGTAAGCTAGACAACGGACGAAGGATGTACGGAGACGGCAGACTAGCACAGCAGCCTATATAAATTTTTATGCGCATATGTTTAAGTAATGGCGGTTACACATTTTTACACACAAGTATATGATATATAGTCCAAGCAATTCTACACTCTTCTTCCGAGCTTTTTTTCCATTTACTGCGGGCAACTACAACTTAAAAACACTTAAAGTATTCACGGCACGTAAAGAAGCAACAAACGGACCAAAGAAAGGACGATGGAAAAAATTAGGAAATAACGAAAATGATGATAAAAAGTAAATGCGTAAAGGCATAAACGAAAGAATGTGAAAAAGAAATCTGCGAAAGAAGAAGTATCTGGAACGCAACGGCTTAAAGCGTGTGCTACACGTGACAAGTGAGCAACTTTTATGCGTGTATAATTCTGTGTGTATGCGTGTAGTATATCAAATTCGCGGCAATCACTTGCGCTACTGGCGGACTACAGCTGCTTGACGGCTATACAAGGTAACAAGCACGATTCATCATATACGACATAAGACGAAAGCGGTAAAGAACTGACAGCTGAGCTGTATTTATAGCGGTTGCTTGTGGCATTTAATGTGTCTGTGTCGGTGCTTGCGTTAAACGCCTGTATATATGCAACAAATGATAATTTAATATTTTTATATTTTACGACGAACGTTCCTACATTACTGAAATTTTTAAATTCATCTTTCATGCATATCAGTGTAGAAATTTAAATATTAAATTATCGCTAGTTTATGGTTAACATTACAAAATGTTTAGGATAAAGAATAATGAAGTAATAAAGTTATTTAGGAATTGTTTTTTAACTGCAAATGTTACTTAAAAAATTTCATCAAAATTTGTGAACACATTATGCAATAATGATTGTTATTTAAATATGTTTTTAAGCTAAAAGCTCAAAGATGTACGAGTTTTAGCCAGAATCTGAAGATAACAAACGCTTAGCATATTTATTTAAAATTAACTCAAATGAACAATTGGTTGTAACTTCTGAATGCTATCAAACTTATTTTAGACTATGCTAGATAATTTTTGAAAAAAAAACATCGTAAGAATTTTGGCATTTTTCTGGGAAATAATAATGCATAAAATTTTTATACCGCCAAAAAGTAGAGATTTCAGCAAATATAAAGCTTACTAACTTTTTTAAAAAATCTAAAATTTTGACTTGAGATTTTTTAATTAAATATTAGGGCTGTTGTCGATTTTAAGTCGAAATCAGGTTTCCTTCTTAATATTTTATTAAAAAAAAAAAAAAATACAGCGTATTTGGGATATAAGTAGGCAAGTTTACTCCAAATTTCTATAAAAAAAATAGTTTTTGTACAAGATAAATATAACAAAACCAAATATATGGTTATTTGAATTTTTCTTATAAATTTTGAGGTTATGTGAAAATAGTCTGTGCACAAAAGTTATAAAACTTTCCATTGCCTACAACAGTGTCATATAACTTCTTTCTAACTACAAGTTTCAAGAAACTATCGACGGCGTATATTCACTAAAGATCTGTGTCTCCATGCTTTGAAAATTCAATTAACACGGCAACTGCGATGCTAGTTTGTTGAATAGATTATTAAGCATTAACAAATGGATGCTGACTTTTCGAGCAAAATCATTCTATGTGATGTCACTGTTTGGTGTATAGTTTGGGCTGGCGGCATGACTGGACCACACTTTTTTGAAAATGAGGCTGGTCAAGCAGTGACTGTTACTGGTGCTTGATATTATATATAGTTCTTTTTGCAGAAATTGGATGATAGTGATGTGTCCAATAGGTGGTTTCAACAAGACGATGTCACAAGTCATACAGGTCGTGAAACATTTCAATTACTGCATGAGACATTTCCAAGTCGTTTACTCTCTCGTTTTGGTGATCAGAATTGGTCCCCTAGATAGTGTGATTTAACAACATTAGATTTCACAGGTTTATTGCCTTTAACCCCCAACCACGCGTGGCTTAAAGGAGGAGATTCAACGTTGCATCAATGAAATTTAACCATATTTATCTAAATTCGCATATTTTCGGCTTTAAAATATAGTTATATATATACATAAATATATATTATAAATATTATACGTTAAACTATAGTATATCCAATATTGTTCGTTCGGTTATTTTGCTAAGATATCTTACATATTGACTGATACATATGGCATAAGGCTAGGTAAAGTTTTCACCGATATATGTGGTATGAAGTAAACCGGAAGTTCGAAAAGTAGGCGTGGTTGTAGTCCGATTTTGCTCATTTTATCATTTTGTGTGGGATTGTTAAAATAATTTTATGTACCAAATTTTGTTGAAATTGATCGAGTAGTTCCGGAGATGATGATTTCGTTTAAATGTGGGCGGTGCCACACCCATCATCCAATTTTGACAACTGTTACTTTTGAACCTCATTGTGCCATCCCGATGTAAATTTTAACGTCTCTCACGCATTTAGTTATTGATTTATCGCACTTTTATTAGTTTTTAACAAAACTGTTATTTAGGGAGTGAGCGGAGTTATCATCCGATTTCATCCATTTCCGCACTGTTGAAGGAAGTGTCACAAATTTTTTTCTGTGCAAATTTGGATTACATAGCTTGAATGATTTAGAAGAAATATATATTTAACTTTTTAGGAGCCGGGGCGACGCGCACTTTTAAAACTAGAATACCCCTTCAAATCGGAATAGTGATAAATTATATCGATATATCAATATTATTCGTCTTTCTCGTTATAATATAATACATCAACATAATTTAGTATAGTATAATTAGTGTAATTTCGAAAATACTCACCCACTAAATTAGGCTTCCGGCATTCAATAAATCTCAACGAATACGCTCAAAGTCACAATTTATTAACGGCTACCAATTTTATTGCGGAAAAGTCGCTCATTGCGAATAATTGTCGTTCATGAAAAGTAAACTGTTAAGGAGACAAACTGTTTGTGTATTTATAATATTCGCCTGCATTTTTATTATTTATTTCAGAAATATAATATAATTCATTACTTTTCACACGTAGTCACTGAATTGTCTTACTCACTCAATTGAGTGCACCTTCACACTTTGAACTTTTTCTATGATTACCACTGGTGATTTAAAATTTTGCTTCTTATACTTTTGCTTCACTTGAAGTTAACTTGAAATGTTAAACTTTTCGTACATTTTTGGCACTCAACTCATGAATTTCATAATGAACTGTTGCAAGCCGCTGCTTTGGTAGCAGCTGGAGCCGTCAATAACTACAGTCGGAGCTGCCACATATTTGATTGATTTTGATAAGCGCTTTTTAGCGCGTCTGTTGCCAAGGCATGTTGTTCGACTTGTCGTACGCTTTGAGTGCTGGTGCTTAAAAACACTTTGGAATTAAGTTGTACTTTGATTTAAATTCCTTGGCAACTACATTTTGTTGCCTTTAAATTTTTATGCTGACATTGAATTTGAGAGTTGATTTTGAAGCTTTCTACTGAGATGCTACAATAAAATGTTTGGAAAATGACATATATATAAAATATTTTTTTTAAATCTATATTTGTTTTATAAAAAAATATTAGCGTAAATTGTATAAGTTTGTAATTTTTTATAAGTATAGCTGTTTTCGTATTTCACTTTGTGGTTTTTTGAAAAATATATAAAAAAATTAAATTTTGAAAATTTATGTTTATTTACTTAATTGATTTTTGATTTGATTTTGATTTGATTTGATTTTTTAAAAACAAATACAGAATTTTAAAGGATTTTTTATTTAACGTTATTAGCATATTTTGTTCATATATTTTGTTATTTAAAAATGAATAACTTCTGATAAAATTGTTTTACTTTTTATAAATAGTATTTATTATATTTATTTATTTTATTCATATTTACACATTATGAAATATATTTTTATAGTTTTTTGTGTAATATTATAATTTTTATTATATATAAAGTAAATTAATTAATTTTAACGATTTGCCGAATCGGAAATTTTTTTTTATTATTTCAATACATACTCTTTCGTTTATTTTTAACTTTAAACATTTTTTTATTATAAATTTAGCACTTCATTGTGTATATTTATTTTAAACTTTATATATTTTTTTGAAATTTTTATGTTCAAACTTATGGTTACTGATATTTTTATCTAAATCAATTTAAAAATATTAGATTGTTATTATCTATCATTTTGAATATATTTTAATTTTAAACTAATTGATTTCTTACTTTTTAAATTATTTAATTTTTTAATTTTTTTAAATGTTATTTATGTATTCTATTAATATTGACAAATTAATTTTTTTATATCAATTAGTTTGAGGTCTCATTTTATAACTTTATATGTATATTTATATATTTTTCCCTTTAATTTACCATAAATAATTATGGAATGGCAAGGAACCAACAAAAAACTTTTTTACTCAACTATAGTAGTATTGAAAACTGTGGATTGGATTATAATACTTTTTTTCAGTTTTGGTTTTGGCTTAATTAATTTTTTTAAAAAAATAAAAATAAAAAATTATTTTGTAGTAATTAATTTTGTTGAAAATTAATTTTTTTTTATTAATAATATAGTTTATTATAATGCCATAAATTTCCTATGATTTTTCGCGTCTCACTCCACTTGCATCTCACCATATGTGTGAATCCTTCATTGCTATTTTGCCATTCTTCAGGCTCAAGTTCATTTAGTTTGTTATTGTTTTTCGCACACTTTGTACCCGAAAACTTGTTTTTACCGTAAACCACAACTTTCCATTACGAATTCACTTCCACAACTGATTAAAATTGTGTAGAAAGCGCGCGTTATCAAGTGCTCTTAGACAGCGTAGCACTTGGCCGCGTCCTTATGCAGGCTAACAAAGTAATCATTGCCAACGCAGCATAACAATGTCCTGTTACTCACTCGAAATTCGTCTAAATCCTGTACATAACAGTTCGAATGGCATTTGTTTGGGTTTTCTAGCAGTTCTCCATATTCAGCGTTCTCTTTGCGCATGCGTTTGGCATCTCAAAATTATGATTTCCTTACGCAAAACCAAACAGCTGTTCGTTACTACGACAACACTTCTATTTGCAATTGTGTGTGTACTTGGCTTGCAGAAGCGTAATATCATAACAAAACATTGAAAACAAAGCAACCTGTTTTCGTGCAGAATAATTCATTCATATCAGTTTCGCTGTAGTTGACCCACACCTGCCGTGAACGGTTGTGCCATGCGCTCGGCATTTCAAATGCGCATCAATTTTTTGCAAGTTGCTGAGGAATACTTCTGTGCTGGTTGCGTACTTCCAGTTAAGCCGCAAATATCACAAAATATTTGTGTATTTATATGTCAATATGTGCGTGTTTTTTCAGTTATTATAAGCATGCAACATGTTGCTACAGTGTATAATAGCTTTGTTCACCTAACGGTTGTCTGTGTCAACTAAAACTAATCGAGATATATATGAAGTTATATATATATATAAATGAAATGATGACGAGTTGAAATCCGGATGTCTGTCTGTCCGTCCGTCCATCTGTCCGGCTGTCAGTACATATATCCTAAACCACTTAAGGTACAACAACCCACTTCGCTCAAGGAAAATTTCTTAAGTTACTATTACATATACATACTGATTTTCGTTGTTCTAACAAACCTAATGCACCTGAAGGTATTTACATGACATTAATACTGGCAAGTTGCACGAGTATAAAATTTTCGTTTACATCCGAACACAGCTCTTCCTTACTTCTTGTAAAATAATTTTTGTATGTCGTTTTTCAGTTTGTTGAACACCTGTCTATTTGCCCATCCTGCCACACGTTTATCTGGTCTATTGTGATTTAAATTTTACGCTCGTCCACATTTGCTTTTGTATTTTTTTCCACCTCCCATCTTTTACGCTCTCGTCTATTGGCTACCGCCCATTTCATAACAACCGGTCTGAAGGCCGCACGGGGATTCATTTTGTGGCCTTAATTTTCATGGTATCGACACACAGACATTGTAAAGAATAAGAAAGTCATGTTTTTTGGCAACAACGTTTGTTTCTTGTGGTATCGTTGCCGCAAATGAATAAAAATACAGCGAAGCAGATATAATAAATGTGAAAATGCAATTAAGCGAGTTACCTGGCGTAGGGGTAGATTAAATGTTTAATTTGACAAGGACATCACCATTTTATTCAGTTACTAGTCATATTCTGATGTTGCTGGTAATAAGATTATACTAAAAAGTTTGGTAGTAGAAGTAGTCGCTTCTCAAATACGAAAACGACACATTAACCGGGGAGTATAGAATGTAATGTACAGAAAATATGAGATATACATCGAATGTACATATATTTAAAAATATTTTCTGAAAATTTTAGGTGGAATCAGCAAATAAGTTTTTTCATAAAAAAATACTTTTTTTTGGGCAGCCAACATTTCGTCCAAAATCAAAAGTAGTTCTTCGATCATTATCTGTATACATATATCGTAACAATACATTTTTTTTGTTTCAATTAGGTTGTTATATATCTTTCGAAAAATTTATAGCCAATTAAACATCAATTGTATACAGAAATGTATAATCTGCTTTAATTTTAAAATGCGAGTGCTTTTTGAGGGAGATCAACCTTTGGCTACATGCTATATTATCGAGTTGCTACAAATCTTTTTGAACTTTAGAGAATATTATATTAAAAATACCAATAAAATGGGTTTGTTACATACAAATTTACAATCGAAGTATTCATGGTCTCAACATACAATGCGATAGGAATTATCTTCCTTTTCTCCGTCATAAAAATACAGTAACAGAAATGAAACTTTATTGAGCCACTATAAGTATAACTTAATAACTTAATTGTTATAAGAAAGATATTTGAATGAACCTTATTACTTGGAACCTTATTATTGGAACCTTCTGAAATCAAACGATACATTTTCAGAATCAATATACTTGCTAAAACACAAATTGTGCTTGTCCATTATGTTATTTATTAGAAGAAGTAACCATACATAACATAGTGAAAACAACTTCCTCTCGGCACACTTTTATTGGAAGACTTTTATTGTGACAGCTTTTTGGCACTTCAACGAATAGTTAACAAGAAAATGATATTAAAACAGCGAGAAACATCAAAACTTGTTTGACATTAATAACAAACAAGATAAACAAAAAAAAAATAGTAACCACAGCAGAAGTTGATGATATTACAAACTTTTTGCTATACCGAAAAGGGCAACTTGACGTATACGCAACATTTGACGCCTGCTGTTGTAACTGAGCATCCACCATTTGACAATGCAACGGCCAGTATACATGCGAAGTAATAACGAGTGAAGCAAGCGCTATCTTATGGGAATATCCTGTCTTTTTATATGGATATACACTGATCCTTTTACTACTATAATTATAAATATCTGCATACATTTTTTATAGACTTCTTTTTTGTAAAGAAAGGCTTGGTGTTTTATTTCAACATTTCAATATGAAATGGATAGTAACTTTGTGTAACTTTTAAATTACACTTTATACTCTGGGGAAAAAGTATATTCAAAGATAAGAAACTTCTATGCAACAATTCCTTTTTTTTAATTTCTTTAAATAGCTACATTTTTGATAGGATGGTAGTTTCAGAGCCATTTTATTATGTTTATAATACATTTTCGTCATTTTACGATAGGCTGTGGGCATTATTAGTTCAGTAGTTCTCTTTCCTGTAGTAAAATAAAAAAAACGACTGTATCAATTATTTTAAAATTTTATGAATGCATTTATACATAGCATTTTAAGAATATAGAGTGAAATCTTAAAAAAAAATTATTTCTTTTTCGATTCAAACTTAATCAGCGACGGCGCTAAAAATAAAAGTCCTCCACTACTGCAGTGATTCCGGGCATATCCGTGGATGAAACCTGAAAAAGGTATCCATTGGAAGATATTGTCCCTACACTGACCTACTGTGAAAAAATTCAAAATTGATAAAATGATGGCGTTTAAAAAAAAAGTTGAATTTTACCCATGAAATTGAATAATGGTTTGTCTCCGAGTAATCGCTCAAGAAAATTTGAAAAAAGTATTTAAGTGATTGAGTTGAACGGCTGCAAAAGTTTGTAACTCAAAAACAGTTTAACTTATCGATTTAAAATTTTAGTATGATATTTATAAAAGTATAACCTATCGAAATATGAAAAAAATTTTGATTGCACATACCTACTGTATATCAATGGTTTTAGTCATAAATCTCAGCAATAATTCTCCATAAATTTTATTGAAACAGGTGGTTATTAACGTACCAGTCAAAAAGTCTATAAAGTTCTTAATACGGAGAGAAGTATTAATTTTAATCTTAAAACTTAGCCACATAAAACGTTACAAAAAATAATTTTTTTTCGAGAAAATGAAATCAAGAATTTGCTAATTTATATAATACTTATGGCATATTTCGTGGCCTATAAGCACCCAAAAACTAAAATATTATTAATAACAACTGGATAGATCTAAATTCTTCCTTCAAAATCTGAACAAAAATTAGGAAGAGGAATAAAGTTAAACTCAATACTGGCTGTTCTCATTAATGGTTAGACTTTGAGTTACTTAGAGCCTTATAGAATATTATCCAATTTAGTTTTGTACCACATTTTAATCACATGGTTTCGCACAACAATCATCTTTCGTTAAAAAAGCAAATATGAGGAATATTTTACCTAAAAAATTTCACCTAAAAAAAAAACAACTCTAACTGTCTAGCTGTGTTTTTAGCGCTTTGATATTGTGCAATAAAATTATGTTCCGAAATGCGCCTACTAGTAGACAACTTTTCATATTAAGGAGGCTAAAAGATGGGTTCAAGATTTTAAAATTTTCAATTGAAAATACTTCATCTTAAATGTTAAAAATTGCTTGAAAGTTTCTTTTAATGAAAAAAAAAACAGGTTAATTAAAAAAATATCTTTAATTGAAGCATTTAAATGTTGCATAAACGTAGGCATCTAGATATAGTTATGTACAATAATTGCTTTGTCTGTTGTTCTTTTTTTTTTCGTACTTCTTTTCCCACCAAAGTTTTACAGACTAAAACAAATTTGTTATCCGTCGTACCTTGCTTGTTTCGCCCCCAAATAGGCGCGACTGCCTATAGATTATGCCCATCTGTATTGCAGAAATCCACTTATATGATTACTCACATGCTGTCAGTTAATCCAAATAACCATTAAAAGCAACAATGACATGCCAGCAACAACAAAAAGATATCGTATAACAAATAGACATCTTCCGCCTAGACCAGCTGTCACCTGTAGTCTCTGCTGTTATATACAATCGCATTTAGACTTTATCTTTTTATATGATATTTCATCTTTATTGGCTCTCAGAGGGGCAACAGCAGACTAAGTAGGAAGAGCAGCAGCAGTCCAAACTCAATGCTCTCTGACTGTCAGGTACTGCAGCATGTCAATTCCACCAACTGCTGCTGCTATTCACTTGGTATCCTTCAATTCTGATTTCACTATAATTGTGACTGTGGAAAGAGAGAGAAAGAGTGCGGGTGACAAGCGTTTGGTGTGTGTAAAAGGTAATTTAAGGCGTGGTTGGAGGTTTAGATTAGTTTAGTCTGGGATGATGCAGTTTGACGCGTCTTTAATGGGAAATACAACGCTGCATGTAAGTGAGCAACTTTTGGAAAAACAATAAATATACCCTTGTACATGTCTTTTTTGAGCTCTCCCTTATTACCCATATTAACTTGTCTTGTCTGCTTGTTTCGATTTTGCTCACCTACATTCCTACTTAAATATATGTCAGTTTGATTTGATTTCGCCAATGCGAAATGTGTCTACAATTGTTAGACACAACAAAAGTAAAATCAACCGAATGCGTAGGCGAGGGCGAATAACAGCCGTAAAGATAAAACCAAAAAGCATTAGTCA